TATCATGTTTGGTAAGGTGGAGGGTCAGAGAAAAAGAGGAAGACCCCCAGCGAGATGGATTGGCCAAGTGGCAGCATCAATGGGTTCAAGCATGGCAATGATAGTGAGATTGGCCCAGGATCAGTCAGTGTTTCGTTCTGCTGTGCATAAGGTTGCTATGAGTTGGCATCGACTCAATGGCACCTAACAACAACAACAACATACTACCTGGACTCCTTAAAGTCCAAATGTAGACTCAATATATTAAGATATGAAATTCAAGATGGAGCACCAGGTTGCCAAATCTGGTTCTGGCTTAAGCTGTAGATGTTCTATACAACACAGCAGCAAAATCTGTATGTGAGAGAATGTTTAATGAAAGGGCATTATCTGGCATCCCCAGGTTTTATTTCCTTTATTCTTTAGGGATACTTTGAAGTGAAATTATTTCAATCGTGCTGTACAAGGATGCTTACCTGCTTGAGGGGAGTTTTGAGATTTGAAAAGACCAACTACTCCCTTCCCATGGAATCCTCCAGATCGGAGGAGCAGGGTACTGCTTCTTGAATTCTTCCAACATACAACAGGTAGTCGATTGTGTCGATAGCAGCGGGCTACTCTTGGTAAAGTACTATCCTGTACAGCTTGAGGTACAACGAGGAGGCCAGGATAACTGTAATGACAAGAAAAAGATTTAGGTGAGGGATGGTGGATGAGAGGAAGAAAAGGAAAGAAGAGAAGGGGTAGGGACACAGAGAAAAAGAGAGCGAGAGATAATATGAATATCATAATATTATAGTCATTTACTAAGACTGAGAAACATTTTGATTGAGGAGTAAGTAAGACATATGAGGAGGCTTAAAACTTTCATGGGAAAAATGGAATTACAAGATAATGTAGGGGGAATGGGGAGTTAATAGATGTTATTCTGACTTTGCAACAACAACAACAAAAAGCACTCCAGTGGGTTATATGAATAAAATATGATACAACCCCCCGCACCCCCCACACACAAAAGATAATGTAGCATTCCCACAAACTTTGTGAAAACTCCTCTTATGGAATTTAGTTAGTTTTAACCCCTTCTGAACTCTTCAGTGGTTAAGAATAGGCCTAGAGAGTAAAATAGCTGACTGACTCACTGATCTGTAGTCTTTCTTTGAAATGAACCTCTTTTAGTTGTGAACAACTAAAGCTGGTTATTGTTGTTGTTAAGTGCTGTTGAGTTGTTTCCAACTCATAATGACCCTGTATAGGGTTTCCAAGGAGCAGCTGGTGAACTTGAACTGCTGACCTTGCGTTTCAAAATGACTTTGCAGTCCAGTGCACTAATCCACAGTACCACACTAGAACTTAAGCTTATAAAAGAAAAATGCTATGTAAAATAATTTGAAAGATCTATGGATTAGTGTCAGTTTTTGAGAATGATAAATCAAAATGTTAACAACACATTAGGTCACTGAAATGACAATAGAGAATTAAAGTCAGTAATATCTGACTCCATCACTCGCCTTTCTGTTTGTCGTACTGTGGTGGCTTGTATGTTGATGGGATGCTAGAAGTTATGCCACCAGTATTTTAAATACCAGCAGGGTCACTCATAGTGGACAAGTTTCAGGTGAGCTTCCAGACTAAGATAGACAAGGAAGGAGAGACAGACAGACTACTTCCGAATATTTAGTCACTGAAAATCTTATGAATAGCAGTGGAACACTGTCAGCACCAGAATATTGTCACATACAGTGCCAGGAAAATGAGATTCTCAGGTTGGAAGGTGCTCAAAATACAACTAAGGAAGAGCTGCCTCCTCAAAGTAGAGTCAATCATGACGACACGAATGGAGTAAAGCTTCTGGGACCTTCATTTGCTGATGGAGCACAACTCAAAATGAAGAGAAACCACTGCAAACATCCATTAATAATCAGAATATGGAATGTATGAAGTACGAATATAGGAAAATTGGAAGTTGTCAAAAATGTAATGGAATGCATAAATATTGATACCCTAGGCATTAGTGGGAGTCCTGGTGTGATGCTGTGGGTTAATGCGCCAGACTGCAAAGCCATTTGGCAGTTCAAGCTCACCAGCTGTTCTTTGGAAACCCTATACAGGGTCCCTATGGGTTGGAACTGACCATTTTGAATCTGACAACTGCATGGCTTACTATGTCAGGAATTATGCCAGGAATGACAAATTGAAGAAGAATGGTGTCCCATTCCTCTAAAGAACATTACAAGATCTATCCTGAGGTATAATGCTGTCTGTGAGATAATGTATACCTACGAGGAAGGACTTCTGGTGTGTGCTGTAGGATAAGCGCAGGATTGCAAGGTTGGTCTGAACCACAAGTTCGGCTGTTCAAACCCACCATTTGCTCCTCGGAAATCCTATACTGGGTTGCTATGAGTCAGAACCAACTCAACAGCACTTAACAACAATAAAAAGGAAGACCAGTTAATACCACTATTATTCAAATTTACTCATCAACCTCTACAGACAGAGATGATGAAATTGAAAACTTCTTCAGTTGAAACTGACCAAACATGCAAGCAAAATGTATTGATAATAACTAGCAATTAGAATGCAAAGGTTGTAAACAAAGAGGAAGAAGGATCAGTAGTTGGAAAATATGTCCTTGGTGATAGAAACGATGCTGGAAATCGCATGTTAAATTTTTGCAAGAACAATGACATCTTCGTTGCAAATACCTTTTTTTTCAAATTTTTTTTTTTTTTTTAATTTAAGGTTTTTATTGTGGATTCAGTGAAAGTTTACAGGGCACATCATCAGTTTCACATTCAACAATTCATATAACTTGTTTCATTACAACATT